GGTTATTTGTGTTTGCGTTTGCTGGTGTACCTCACTGTGCTTGCATGTTTGTACTCTCTACTCTCCAGTAAACATTGATCTTTTGGCCAACTCACCTCTCGTTCCTCTCAACAAGCACCTAGGCCAGGGTTTCTCTTATGCCTATATTACTTTTATTCGTTGTTTTATGCTCGTCGCGGTGCCCCTAGTCGCGCTACACGTCGAATCGTTGCTGACTTGGAGTAGGGCCCATCGCCGAGATCATCAAGCAAGGTGGGAGGCGGGAGAATCGGCGGCGCCAATGGTGCAAGGAGTGGCACGCTGCGCCTCGGGAGTTCTGTGGGTCGCACCACCTACACCGTGTCGTCTGGCCGGTCGAGCGGTGGGGATTGGTGGTGCGCCCACGAGGGGTAGGAGGAGACATGGAGCAAGAGCACGGGCCCCACCAAAGCCAACGAGGACTGGATCTTGGCGGGAGACACATGGTCGGCAAATCCTAATCGCTGCTTGGGGGGGAGAGAGGACAATGATGACCACTCATCCAACGATGCCTCATTCATGGCATCAGCGACACCTCCATTGGAGGAATTTTCGCTCCAAGATGAAGAGAAGGAGAGATGACGTGGCTTGCGCAATCGGCAAAACATCAATCCCCTGGCAGGTGACCAGGGAGGCACGGCCACTGAAGGAGGCAACGTGGCAGATAGCAGGGCCCACGATGTCCGTTCACCGGATGAGCCGGTGGAGATGGAGAACCTGTGGGATGAGATAAAGACCTGGGATATTGGCAAGCTCACACGTGGCGACAAGTCATTTGTTGCGAAGAGCTGCCACCTGACGTGCTTACCAACTACACGCTGTGCCTGCTCACCCTCCTACTCCGAATCGCAAAAAATCCGAATTGTCCAAGCGCATGGAGAGTGTTGTGCTTCCTGTCGAGGCTGGCTTTGCTCCCACAACCTCAGGACACAATTTTGAACCGATGGGCCGAAATTTAAGCACGGCAACACAAATTCAGGATGGGGGAAAGGGAGAACCTGTACATCGCGACCATCACATTCCCCTGAACTAGGAACCAGTTGGGCACCAACCCGATGCCACGGGACTTTGCGTCAGAGCGGAGGGACTGGTTCGGAAGGGTAACCTTCCAAGACAGCTGCGGCGTTACAGACCACCCCCCTGGCGAAGGTGACAGTGGATACAATCGCATGCCTGCGGGCGAAACACCCTGAGTCAATGTTACCACTACTGTATGGGTGGCTGAGGAGTTGACTTTGGAACTTTCTGTAAGCCAGGAGAACTTTCGTTGCATCTTGGGAAAATGCCCCAGTGGAGTCGGGGCAGGCCCGTCAGGAACCTGCTTCGAACACTTCCGTGACCGCGCCTTGGGCAATGAGGAGGTCTTAACACTCCTTCATGGTGCAGTGAACCACCTTCTGAGCAACGTCGTCCCCTAGTCAGTGAAAGATGTACTCCTTCCCTCTTGACTGATAGCTCTCGAGAAACCGGGTGGTGGAGTTTGTCCTATAGCAGTAGGAGAAACTGTCCTTCACATCGCGGCTAATGCGGCACTACGCGAGTTAGGACTGTTGATCAAGAGCATTTTCCTCCCAATCCAGTTTGGCATAGCTGTTCAAGAAGGTGCTGAGTGCGTCATCCACTCGGTCCTGTCCATCAGATAATTCCGGAGTTGCCTTACAGATCGACGTGGAGAATGCCTTTGACGGTATGGAGAGAGAGAGACGTCGTTTCAGTGGTTGGAACTTAACCCCCTGATTCCGCTTGTTTGTAACCTCTATGATGGCCCGTCCCTACTGCTTCTTGGCGTGGTGTTTGGCGAGGAAAAGATCGTTAGTACAAGAGGAGTTCGGCAGGGCGATCCCATAGGCCCGCTACTGTTCGCGGCCGTCATACAGCCCACCCTACTCCACGTCGCCATGGCGTTAACAAAAGTCACAATCGTGGCGCACGCAGCCGACATTACAGTGGTCGGTCCCCCGGAGGCAGCAAGAAGAGCGTTCGACCTCATCGCCGACGGTCTGCAGCGGTGTGGGCTCTGCTGCAACTACTCCAAGTCAATGGCGTGGGGCCCTAGTATAGGCGAGGGGGAAACGAAGCTTCCTTAGGGAATAACGGTGGAAGGCGACGGTGTCAGGGTACTTCACCAGACCATACTACGACGGATGGTGAGCTTTCGACTCTAGTGGAACTAGAAGCCCGCCTGCCGGAAGAAGCGAGATTGGTGTTGGGGGACTATCGTACCTGGATGAACACACAGCAAAACCTGAGGAAGCAAGCATCGGCAAGCACAAGCTTTACCAAGAGAGGCCATCATGCGTGGGGTTCATAGGGCTGGCAGTAGAGACGTATGACGCGCTGGCAGCAGACACTGTCAAATTCTTCAAAATTCTAACCACCAACGCCGCCAAACGGGTCGGGTGTGACCAGCCGCCGAATGGGGTCGGGACCTGCTCGCCACGCCTGGGGGTCGGGACCTGCTCGCCACGCTCTTAGTATCATGCGGAATACGCTTTCCGTCAAGTGTGGCGGAGCAGACGCGCCTTTGGGAGCAGTCTTCATTATCGCCATCACTCGACGGGATTGGTCACAGGTCAAGGCTGCCACCTGGATCTTCGGAGCTACCAATGTCGATGCTCCACACTGTTACTCGAGCTGTCAACCTACTAGCGAGCATCGCCGTCCAACGAGAAAAACAGCGATATTTCTTTAATGTCCATACAGAGGACATTGCTTCGGTGTTCCCAAGGCATTATCTCGTTTGGTTGCAGATTTTAACAACAATGTCAATGATCCAGGTCCTAAGCTGGTTGCTGGGTCAGCGTTCTATTATCAAGACTATAATCCCGAAAATGATGGCATGGAGCTCAGTCTTACATCAATGCTATCAAGGTGTTCTGATCAGGCTTCCCGAGCTTACCCTGGAGGCTTTTTTTAGACGCTCAGTCAGTTCGATTCTCCAACACTTTGCTGGTTGTGGTGGCTCTTTCATCATCACGCCAGGCCTTCTAAGGGGAAGCCTGGCAAGCCTGCTACCAACAAGATGGACCCTGTTGCTGCTGCGCTTAAGACGCCGGCTACGGGCTCCACGGCTCGTCCGGCCTTGGTTACTGCTGTACCTTGTTTGCGCGTACCTTGTTTGCGGAGGAAGACTCAGAATTTCTGACGCTGTCGGCTAAGCTGGCTGCTCTTCGTATTGAGCAAGCTGCTGGAGGGAAGGCAAACAATGGCAAAGGGAAAGACAGTGATTTCAAGGATGCGGTCTCTAATGTGGAAGAAGAGGCTGCTGCTGAGCATGATGCTGGGGAGTCATCGTCTGGTGCTGCTTTTGTTTCTGCATCCTGGATGACGAGGATGATGGCCTTATTGCTCACGACCCGAAGGAGTGTTTTGAGGATAAGGCGAAGGAGGAGCTCGGGGCGAAGTTGTGTTTCCCGCTAACGCTGCTGATTCCAAGCGACCATCTGCAAAAAGTTCGTCGCACGCAGGCAACGATTAAGGAACAGCTGGGAACGACGTGGGGTAACCAGCTTACTGAGAACGCAGCAACGACGAGAACTTTTCAGGAGTTGAATCCGGGTTACATTTCTAAGAAGCTATATGGTCGTTTGCAAGTAATTTCTGATGCTGCTTCGGATGCCAACTTTGTTTGGAGGAACCGCATTGAGCACCAGTGTGTGGATGGGAAGTGGATCTTCCTCGATTCTATCTATCCGGAAGACTCAAGCTACATCAGGCGGAAGATTACTGACCCGGCGGTGATTGAAGTGTTGTTCTTGGGTGTGACCGCGAAAATCTCCCTGGAAATGCTTCATGAGGCTCTCGCGATCTCCCCGCTGAAGATCTGCAAGCCGGCCTTCAAAGCTGGCTTCTGCTTTCACCGAGCGGTGCATCCTGTCTCGGGGCTGGACACAGATCGGGTGAAAGGCTTGGTGGTTGCGCATGAAAATGACAATTTTCGGTGGCTGCACTTCTTTGAGAACCCGGTCTCCCCTGGCGAGAAGATTATGGTGCACTACCCGGTGCTGAAGTGTTCGTTGTGTGGAGGGATGCACTCAATGCACAACCACAACGATTTTGTGACTGAATGGCAGAACAACATCTCTAAGTGGAACCTCACAGTGGGGAAGGTCCAGGAGCTCAACGGTAGAGATGATGGCTTCCTTTTATCTTTTCGCGTTGTCGCTGTTTTTCCTCGATTGGTGGTGCCTGATTTCCAGCTTCTTACCTCCCACCCGTGCAGCGGCTGCGACAGTAGCCACGGCAACGTCAAGGATCGTCCTCAAGGATCCAGCGCTGGTGCTGGTCTCAACGTCTGGCAACAGGGAGGAGTGGTTCTGCCTGCTCGAATGCTGCGAGAAGGGGAAGGGTACCTCCTTCGAGCAGGCTGATCACCACGCGCTGTCTCAGCGTCACCTAGGGAAACTGGCGAAGCAGGGTGCTGCCACGCGTGCTCTCAAGGCCAACTTGAGCCTTTGGGTGCTGCGCAAGGAAAACGGGATTTAGTGACGTGGAGTGGAAGAGCGTCAGAGGGTCTATTGGTAGAACCTCTTACGATGTATGCATTGCTATATAGTGGTAACCTCCTCTGTTTCAGATACCTCTTTTCATCCCGTGGATGCTTTGGGGCTCCAGCCTGGTTGTTTAATGGATAAGCCCTGCAGACTGTCAATATGCGAGCTCAACGTTAACGGGCTCGGGAGCAGAGGGAAACAGCGGAACCTGAAAAAATGGACAAGCAAGGAAGCGGACATCTTCATTTTTACAGACACACGAGTCACTTCAGATCATGAATGCTGGAAAATGCTGAACTTGCATCACTCCATCACCGTGGCGAATGCAGAAAGAGCGGGGGGGGGGTTGCTGTTGTCAGCAACAACAAACAGTTTTTGAAAATGAAGTCCTACCTGCTCGGGGAGGCTATTCAGGTGGATGTAAGATGGGACACCAACAGTTTCACCATACTGGCCGCATACTTCCCTGCGAGCGCATGCTGCCGAGCAATGTTCTTCAGGGAGGTATTGGAGCCTTTCCTGTCCAACCTGGGTGGTCGGAGCAAGCTGCTCCTGGCTGGCGACCTGAATGTTGTGGAGGACCTGATTCTGGACAAGTCTCCAAGCGGTGGCCCGTGCGGGGAAAACGAGAGGCTGACCTTCTACGCCCGTGCGACCAAGTCCAGCTCGAGGGTTGATCGGATCGTGGTGCCAGGAGATTTACTCTCGTCGGTGACGGCAGCTGCTCACACGCACCCGCTGAAGGGGATCTCCGATCACAAATTTGGTATCAGGGTGGTGCTGCAGGCGAATCTGAGGCTGCACATGGGCCCCGGGAATTGGCGGTTGCTCTCTGCAGACACGGCGAAACCAGGGGTGGAAAGAGTGGCCAGAGCAGTTACCGAAAGGCACCGTGCAGGGAAATCGGGTAACTTCGGGACCTTGCTCACCAAACTCAAGGCGGCGCTCAGGAGATATACGACGGAGGAACGGAAAAGGTTGCGGGCGACCCTGAGGCATCTGGAGCTGGCGGTCTCTGGTCTGCAGCATGCAGTGATGCGGGAACCCCACCGAGACGATTTATGGACGGATCTTCTGGAGAAGGAGGCCCAATTGGAGGCGTACCTGAAAGGGGAAAATGAGAGACTGCACCTCCTTGCGGGGGTGAGGGAAGAGACAAAAGGAGAAATTGCGTTGAAGGTACTTTTCGGGAGAGTGAAGTCCAAGAAGACGAGAACGATGATTCCTGCTCTGTCGGTGCAGGGGGTAGAGCAGAAGGGGACGAAAGGGATTATGGAGGCTGCATCCGGCTTCTACGCAGAGCTGTTCGCGGAGGCTCCACCGTTAGACGTGCCATGCTGGAAGCCAGATGTGGGAAAAACGCTAAGGGGTGATGAAGTAGCGGAGCTGGATGCTGATTGGTCGGAAGAAGAGGTAAAGGCGGTGCTGAGTGGTATGGCGCGGGACAAATCCCCATGGAACGACGGTCTCCCGAAGGAGCTCTTCGAGCGGCACTGGGACCTTCTGAAAGAAGATTTCATGCGTTTCGTTAAGCGGTGCTCCCGGAGGATGTAGGCGTTGACTATCCTGCTGCACAAAAAGGGCCCGAAGGAGCTGGTGCAGAACTATAGGCCGATTACCCTGTTGACAAGCTCTTACAAGGTAGTGGCGAAGCTGCTGGCTAACCGAATGAAGAAGGTGCTGGGAACGGTCATCTCGGAGGAGCAGCACGGCTTCCTCCCTGGCCGGCGGCTCTCGGATGCGGTGTCGATGGTGGCGGACGTGATCCAATCCGCGAAACAATGATAATGAGGACTGGTACTTGATGATGGTGGACTTCCTGAAGGCCTTCAAGTCTGTGTCGCGGTCCTTCCTCTTCGACACGATGGCGCTGATGGGGTTCCCCGAAAAATTCATTGGCTGGTGCAGGGGCCTGCATGGAGGGTCGTTCATACGCCTCTTGCTCAACGAATGGCTGGGAGATAGAGTTGATGTCTGCAAGGGGGTTCGCCAAAGGTGTCCGCTTGCACCGTACCTCTTCTTGTGCGCGGTGGAACCAATCTGCCAAGAAGCAAAGCGCAAGAAGTTAGGCATCTGCGAGGACCATGGGGACCGGCTGGCTTACCTTGGGTATGCTGACGACACGACTTTGGTGCTGAAAGGGAAGCAGCAGATTGGACGGGCAGAAGCGCTTCTGGAGGAGTTCGAGGCCCGCTCTGGCCTTCGGGTGAACCAGGACAAGCTGGGGAAGAACCTGGAAACGAGCAAAGACAGGGAGTCAGCTTTCACGTGGATTGAACCCAAAGAAGCAGAACGGTTACTGGGAGTCTGGGTATCCCCGTCCGGGAGTGCAGAGGTCACCTGGGAGAAGGCGCTGGCCAGGGCGGCGGAAGAACTGATGAAGTGGCGCTCGCAGCATCTTACCACGACGGCAAGGGTGGCGGTGGTGAATGCCTACGTTTGCCCGATCCTCGCCTTCCAGGGTCAGGTTTACCCGTCGTCGGAGAAGATCTGGAAACGTATCATGAAGCTGTTAGTGAACTTCATTTCCATGAACCGTGCATCCGAGGAGCACCATTTCTCGCTGTGGAGTAGAGAGCTGATCTTCAGACCGAGGAAAGATGGTGGCCTGGGGGTACGCGACCCCTTCGTTGAACTCAGGCCAGACGGGTGGGGCAGTTTGTGCTGGGTAACAGAGGAATCGGGAGATGGTTGGCGACAAAGGCGGCAGATCTCCCCGCGGGCTTCCGCTCCTTTTCTGAAAGATTGGAAGGGGCGGAGCGAAAGGTGGAAAAAGACATGTGAGACGTTCATGATGTCAAACATTATATATGTTGTGTTTGTTTAGGCTACAGTGGGTTAGCCTATAGGGGGTACACAATTCTAGGGTTAGGTACTTGTACTGATTTCACTGTTAGTTCAATCATTCCTGTCCGTTCATTCTGACATGGTATCAGAGCAGGTCCTTCACTAGGACCGTTTTAGGGCCCACCGCTACCTACCTACCTACCTACCGTGCGCCCTCGTGCGCCCTCGCGCCCTCGTGCGCCTCTTACTACCGCGCGCCCTCGTGCGCCCTCGCGCCCTCGTGCGCCTCTTACTACCGCGCGCCCTCGTGCGCCCTCGCGCCCTCGTGCGCCTCTCCCTACCGCGCGCCCTCGTGCGCCTCTCCCTACCGCGCACGCACGGCCTGCTAGCCACCCGCGCGCGGCCCGCTTTCCGCGGCGTCGTCGCCAGCCCGCGGCGTCGTCGCCTGCCCGCGGCGTCGTCGCCTGCCCGCGACGTCGTCGCCTGCCCGCGGCGTCGTCGCCTGCCCTCGTCGCGTCGACCTGCCCGCGGCGTCGCCACCTGCCCGCCGCGTCGCCCTGCCCGCGGCGTCGCCACCTGCCCGCCGCGTCGACCTGCCCGCGGCGTCGCCACCTGCCCGCCGCGTCGACCTGCCCGCGGCGTCGCCACCTGCCCGCCGCGTCGCCCTGCTCGCGGCGTCGCCACCTACCCGCCGCGTCGCCCTGCCCGCGGCGTCGCCACCTGCCCGCCGCGTCGCCCTGACCTAATCCGCCTCTCGCCCCTGGAGCAGCCGCCACTGCAGCAGCAGCCCCTGGAGCAGCCGCCACTGCAGCAGCAGCCCCTGGAGCCGCCCGCCACTGCAGTAGCAGCCCCTGGAGCCGCCCGCCACTGCAGCAGCCCCCCCTGGAGCAGCCCGCACCTGCAGCAGCCGCCCCTGGCCCCTGGAGCCGCCGCCACTGCAGCAGCCGCCCCTGGCACCTGGAGCAGCTGCCGTCGCGGCCCGGCCTCGCCCTGCAGCAGCTGCCGCGGAGCTCCCTGCTGCGGCCCGGCCCAGCCCTGCAGTTGTAGCGGCCCCGCTGTCGCCACCGTCTTGCGCCTGCCGCGCCGACCACTGGTGAGCATTGCCCAGCACTGCTACCGCTGCTACTGCTGCTACTGCCTTTTCTACTCCCACTGCCACAGCTCCTGCTGTTACTACTGTTGCTGCCGCTACTGCTACTACTGCTGCTCCTGGCGTGGCCAGATGCAGCTCCAGGGCCGTGCGCGTGAGTCCCTAACGCCCCAGCAGCTTCGTGCGCATGAGTGGTACGCTAGTTGGGGCTGTCGGGGTGGCCGTAGTGGTGGTCGCTCTGGAGTGGGTCGGTCGGGAGCTTCTGGTAGTGGACAGGTGCAGCTGCCGTGCCCTCCTTCGCCCCAGCTGCTTCGTGCGCGTGCGTGGTACGCTAGTTGGGGCTGTCGGGGTGGCCGTCGTGGTCGTCGCTCTGGAGTGCGTTGTTCGGGAGCATCTGGTAGTGGACAGGTGCAGCAGCAGTGTCCTCTTACGCTCCAGCGGGCCCGTGAGTGGTACGCCAGTTTGGGCTGTCGGGGTGGCCGTAGTGGTAGTCGCTCTGGCGTGCGTTGTTCGGGAGCATCTGGTAGTGGACAGGTGCAGCAGCAGTGTCCTCTTACGCTCCAGCGGGCTCGTGAGTGGTACGCGAGTTTGGGCTCTCGGGGTGGTGGTCGTGGTAGTCACTCTGGAGTGCGTCGTTCGGGAGCTTCTGGGCGCGGACCGGTGCAGCTGCCGTGTAGTGTGAGTGAGGCTGCCGCTCTAGGTGCTAGTGAGACCGCCACTGCAGGTGCTCGCGTGTCTGCCACCTCAGGTGATGGTGAGGCTGCTGCTCTAGGTGCTAGTGCGTCCGTGCCCGCTGGTACTGAGTCGACTGCAGCACTGCACACCTTCACACTGGACTCAGGTGCTTCTCGCTGTTTCTTTCGTGACCGCACTGTCCTTGAGCCACTCGCTCGGCCAGTTGCTGTCTCCCTCGCTGACCCCTCTGGGGGTCCGGTCGTTGCGACCTCCTCCACTGTCCTTCCTTGTCCTGCGGTCCCGTCAGGCACACTGTCAGGTCTCTACCTCCCCTCGTTCTCTACGAACTTGGTGGCGGGTAGTGCGCTCCAGGACAGGGGTGTCCACCAGTTCACCCCTGCTTACGAGCGCGTGACCCACTGCACGTGTGCTCGGACGGGCCGTCACCTGGCTACCTTCACTCGGCAGCCGGGGTCGGACCTGTACACACTGACCACTGAGTCCCCTCAGGTCGCTGCGTCCGCGTCTGCGTCTGCGTCAGGTCAGCTGTCCGCCCCCTGCTCGTGTCGCTCTCTGGCGCATGAGACTGTCCTCTGGCACCACCGCCTTGGTCACCCGTCTGTGCAGCGCCTTCGGGCCATGCACAAACGGGACCTTGTTGCTGGTCTTCCCAGGGTTCTCCCTCCCCTCCCACCCTCGCCTGCTCCTCCCTGTCTTCCCTGTGTCGAGGGACGGCAGCGCGCCGCTCCTCACTCCTCCTCCTTCCCCCCGACGACTGCTCCTTTGCAGACGCTCCACATGGACGTGTGGGGCCCAGCCCGCGTCCGTGGTCAGGGTCAGGAGAGGTACTTCCTGATTGTTGTTGACGACTTCTCGCGCTACACCACGGTCTTCCCCTTGTGCGCCAAGGGTGACGTCCCTGATGTCTTGATCCCTTGGATCCGCAGATCTCGTCTCCAGCTCAGTGAGCGTTTCCGCTCCGACTTCCCTGTCCTGCGTCTGCACTCTGACAGAGGTGGGGAGTTTTCCTCTGGCCTCTTGGAGGCCTTCTGTCAGTAGGAGGGCATTGAGCAGTCGTTCACACTTCCGGCCTCTCCACAGCAGAATGAGGTTGCTGAGCGCCGCATTGGCTTGGTCATGGAGGTCGCTCGTACCTCCTTGGTTCATGCGGCTGCCCCCCACTTTCTGTGGCCGTTTGCAGTCCGATACGCTGCGCATCAGCTCAACCTCTGGCCCTGTGTCTTCCTTGGCTTTGTCCCGGACGCGCCTGGTTGGCAGTTCTACCACGCCACCTCGCGTCGTGTCCTTGCCTCTCAGGACGTCACTTTTGACGAGTCCGTCCCCTACTACCGCCTCTTCCCCTACCGCACTGCCCCGCTCCCCCCCCCGCCTCTCTTCCTCGCTCCAGGTGCTGAGGTACCAGACCCCCTCCCCCCTCAGGGTGCCGCTCCCTCAGGTGTGTCCCAGGTAGACCCAGTTGAGCCTGTCGAGGTAGCTGTTGACTCTCGTCCTGCTGGGGGTACTGAGCCTGCCCGTGAGGAGTCTGGGGGTGCGGAGCCTGGGGGTGCGGAGCCTGGAGGTGCTGAGCCTGGGAGTGCGGAGTCTGGAGGTGCTGAGCCTGGGGGTGCTGAGCCTGACCGTGCTGAGTCTGGAGGTGCGGAGCCTGGGGGTGCGGAGTCTCGAGGTGCTGAGCCTGGGGGTGCTACGTCTGGGGGTGCTGTGTCTGGAGGTGCTGAGCCTGAGCTTGCTACACCTGGAGGAGCCCTCTCCTCCCAGCAGCTGCAGGAGAGGTACCTACAGTACTGCCGCCTCCGGAGAGGTGCTACTAGAGCTCGTACCAGTACTTCCCCTCCTACCCAGGAGCTCCCCCCCATTCAGCAGATCCGAGAGTGGTACGCGCGGCGCTGCAGTCTTTGGAGTGGTGCTCCTGGTGCTGCGGACCCCAGCGGTGGCGCTGCTGCTGGTGCTGAGGACCCGGGCGTTGGAGCTACTGCTGGAGCTGAGGACCCGGACGGTGGAGCTGCTGCTGGTGCTGAGGACCCGAGCGGTGGAGCTGCTACAGGTGCTGAGGACCTGGACGGTGGAGCTGCTGCTGGTGCTGAGGACCCTGCCGCTGGTGTCGCTGCTGGTTCTAGAGACGCTGCGCGGCCGCGACCGTACTTCGTACCACTTCTTCAGCAGGTTCTTGGTCAGGCTCCTCCTCCTTGTCCTCCTCCCTCCGTAGCGTGTCCTCCGCCTGTCCAGTCGCAGTCCCAGTTCCCGCCTGCCTCGCCTCTCCCTGCTCCCTCTCCTTATACTGGTCCCACAGGAGGTCTTACAGAGCGTCGTGAGCCTGAGTCTCGTCCTGCGTCGCCTGTTCGTACTGCTCGCACTGGTCGTCGTGTCCCACGTGAGCGTCCTCCTCCTGTCCCTGGCACTCACTACATGACTCTGCGTCCCTCCACTGCTCCTCAGCGTGTCTCGATGCCGTCTCCTCCTGCGTCCTCTCTGCCTACTCTTCCTGATCCGGAGTCTGACTCCCGTCGTGCTGCCAGTCCCACTGTCACCCGTCTCCTCGCTACTGTTGTCACTGACCCTGAGTCCTCTGCTGCGTCTGCTCTGGTCGCTGAGTTGATCGACTTTGCTGCCCGGTGTCGTCTAGACTACGCCACTAGCCTTGTTGCTGAGTCTGAGTCTGAGTCTGTCTGTCCTCCGTCCGTCGGGGGTGAGTGTGCTCTTGGCACGGACGTCCTTGAGGACAGACAGGAGGAGTTCCAGTGCTTTGCTGCTGCTTTACCCCACTTCTCTCATGTCCATGCTAGTTGCCCCTGAGGGAGACCCGGATGCACCAAACATCCCGACCCCGCGCACTTACGCTGAGGCGATGGCGGGTCCCTACTCCTCTCAGTGGCGGACAGCCATGGACGCAGAGATGGCTTCCTGGAAGTCCACACGCACCTACGTCGACGAGGTTCCCCCACCTGGGGCGAACATCGTCAGTGGCATGTGGATTTTCAGGGTGAAGCGGCCGCCGGGTTCTCCT